GAGGGTTTTTGATTAAACTAGCTGTTGTAGCCCTAGCTAGTCTGCAACTTGACATCCCCTCGCTCTCACTGTCTTCATCACTGCTCCCAATTGCGACACTCACGCTTGGTTTTCCCTTCGCTTTTCCCTTTTTCGACTTTTTCCCTTGCCTCAACTCTGGGTGCTGCTTAAAACAATTCTTGTTTCTGTGTTGATGGGTACACAGCACGCAGTAGTCATTTGGGCCCCCAACAGCTTTCTTCTTCCCTCCATCGTTCCTCTCGCCCTCACCAGTCATCACCATCACCTGCCCCGACGACTTCCCTTTCGACTGTCCAACTTGGCGAAGCGTTGACATCATCGACTCGAGCGGCACATACCTGTTCTTTCCGTCTAGGATCTTGGTCTGCCTCCAAGTATCCAGCCAATCAACACTCTCTGTTCCCAAAACGAAAAGAAAACTTGCTAGCCCATGGCGTACAGTGTATGGATTGTCCGAGTCAGAAATAGATTGCTGGTGATGCATTGACTCAGCGGCACTGTTAACGCTCAAGTAGTGCTGCATAAACTTATCGCAGTATTCTTCGATTGTTGTGAACTTTGTGTTGATTAGATTTCTGACGGCACTCTCATACGGTGTGGCCGCACTTTCCTCTCGAGTCGTCGCTATTGTGTCGAATATTTGCTTCGCTGACATTCGCCGAAAATTCTGGGGACGAACACTTGGACTTAGTCGTCGGAGCAGGACATTTTTAGCCTCAATTTCTCCCTCTTTCCACCTCGCAAGTTCCTCCGCGTACTTCGCCGAGGTCTTGCAAAACTCGTCGTCGGTTTGATTTTCTCCCCTGATCGGTTCACGAGGTCGAAATGCCGGTTGAATTTCCTCGAAGTCATGAAATACATGGGCTAACCGACCTTTCTTGATCAGGGCCGCCTGGAGATCCGATTCCCAGTCCGCAAAGCTTACTCCAGGGGTCAAAACGATTGCTGAGCTTTTATTCATATTGTAAGGTGGTGTATATCTTTGGAGAAGTTAGGATGACTGGTTTAAAGCATTATCGAGGTGCCACAGAGAAGGACTCCGGGCTCATAACCTGTTATATTAACTAGGCTATATGGGAGCAGGACGATGGATACTCTTGGGGAAGTTATGCTCACAGTAGGTCTCTATAGTCGCTGTCGCGTGTGTTCTCGTGATATGTAAGACTTGACTCTATATTCTCGTATAAAGGAAACTTAGTTACAAATGAATGGACGGAGGTTGAGACCTCCTTATATCTTGCTCCAGACTTACTGTGTTGTTCACAGCCTAGTGCTAGAACATTCCCTTATGATATCATTTCTCTCCTACGAGAAATGACCAGCTCGTTCTCTCTCAGTCCATCAGTCTCTCGCTGATTCCGTTATCTCTATTCCATCTAGTTCTAGTTTGGTCCAGTATACTCACACATGCATCACACATGCATTACACACTAAACACCCTACGGTTTAGTTCCACAGTCACGTGCATATGCTATGACGCGACCTAAAGCATGTACCATGGTAAGTTACATGGATAACACAACATCTTCATCTCTCAACACCTTCCCCTACCGCCATTTGTTGTAATGGAAGTTGTATAGAGAAGCGTAAGCTGTTAGGCTTGTATTTAATATCACCTAGTGAAGCGATTTGGGAGATTGAAGAGTCTGAAAACTATAGTGGAGAGTTGTTGATTAAACCCGCTTAGTATCAGAGCGCTATTTAAACTAATTATTACCTCCAAGTGAAGGACACGATTCACTTGTTTATGCTAAATAATTGGGAGGCTGGTCAATGTATGAGTCGTCATGAATATGGCTAGTAATAATAGAACCTTATTACGTTCCGTATTAATGCGACTCTTCATTGCCAAGTAGCGCCAATTTCAACACCATTATCATGTAGCTAACTACGATCAGATCAGATGGTAGGGTCGGAGCCCTACTCATCACCAACCCTTGATCATGGAGGAAAAGCCATCCCATGAGTTTCCGGGGCGTTCCTAGCACCCGATACGAAGATGGCGGATTGGATCAAGTCGGCCTCGAATGTAACAAAGAAAGGAGATATAGATGGATACGCGCAACTTTTGCAGCTCCAGTGTCTATGCCTCGCCTGGCTGGAGCCGCAAGGTTTTTGAGACTTTCTCCCACGCACGCAGTTTCCATAACTATTATTTTTTTCTTTATGGGTAGAAGGTTCCGTGGAAAAGGTGGCCGAATTCCACGGGTAAACACTGAGCTTAATGGCTATTCATCAAGGGGAATACATCAATGATCTTTCAAGTAACAAAAGAGGATAGGAGCACTGTACGAGGTGTGGCCTGGGTCAGAGAGGAGCCCAATGTGCTAGGTAGTCATAGACTCAAGTAGCACAATAAACAAACACACACTCAGTGCAAAATGTTGTCGTACACGTTCTCTTGGACTAGACGTGTACGTTATGTAAAAACTTCAAGAGTAGCACTTGCAAAATAATCAAACTAAGGGTCTTGCCGCGACTCGAACGCGGGACCTCTCGCAGACAGGTTTCTTCCAGCTCCCTAAGCGAGAATCATACCACTAGACCACAAGACCCATGTAACGTGAAATTGAAACTAAAAATATATTCAGTATAATATATTTAACAATCAGTTCCAAATACCATCAAATCTGATTTCCCGATTATTGATGTTGGGCTTCAGCATGGCGGATTCGTGGCATGAAAAGGTGGACTAACCGGCAGGGAAATTATTCGTGGCACTACTAAAACCACCAACAGACAGCGGAACGGCCGAAATTGCAGATGTAGAGTCTCTCGTAGACTCTAAAGATGTCAACATGAATAACCTCAAATCACTAGACTTTATGAAAACACGATTAGATAGACTGGTATTGGCGGGAAATAATCTAACTATGGCACCGATGGTGGAGGTGAACGGGGCTCGTGAGGCCCTCACGGCTCATCCGACGATGTTTCGATCGTTCTTAGCTTTGACGCCAATGGAAGAAAGGATGCTGGCCTTAGAGAAGGCGTTCAAGAAGAATCTCGAGCAGCTGGTTCGCAGACGGTTCCACAGTTGGCACAGGCAATGGGAGGACAACCCACCTACGCCTCAATCGTCGCACCGCCAGCGACCACAGCGGTAGTATGGATACGAGTACTAGGAGCAGATAAAATGCAGCCGCCAGAGCTGCTCGACAAGGCTAAACAATACATCGAGGGGGCACACACCTTCAGGAAGCTACGGAGTAGTGAGACAGGTGTTCGTGCCGTCGGTCTCACTAAGAGACGCTGCCTTGAGGACGGCGCAGCTAAAGGAGCTCTGAGTGCTAAAGCAGAATTATCTAATTGAGATTCCAGGAGCCCTATTGGAGACCAATGTACAAGGAGAAAAGCATGCAAGTAACAGCTCAATGATATATCAAATGGAGGAGACAAGAGTTCGGGTTCCTCGGATCCAAATCGACGGGATAAGATGGCTTTACGATAGAAAGGAGCACCGATGGATGAAGAAAAACGGTCATGATCGAGGGTCAATGGTCATGAGCCTCCCGACCAAGGCTCTTCAACGTGAGGTGGTAACAAACGGCATTGTCTCCAACTCAATGCTGTACACGGCCCAGCTTCAGTCAACCTGAGCCGCTTGTATGTGCATCTTTCATTAGGTTCCATGCGACGAAATCTAGCCTTTAGGTCATCTAGTCGATTTTTTGGGCCTCTAATACTGCCCAAAGGCCGTGCTTGCCGCTAAATTGCATGGCACAAGCAAGGAAGATTCCGGAGAAATACTATCCATGCCGGAGCTCGAAAATCCAAGCATCTGCTCATAGGATATTTATAAAATCAGCTGTAATCACAAGTATTAAATGTTCAAACAGGCAGCGCCAAATGAATTTCAAAGATACACCCTTAAACATCCACCGTAACCCAACCAGGGTCCAAAGCAGTGTCGCCGTTAAGCTAGGAAGCGAGCATATTGGGCACAATTCTTACCTGAGCAGAAAAAAAGTACCCGGAGTAGAAAAGCCAAGCTGTCAATGTGGATGTCCAACACAAAACGTCAAGCACATGGTGTTGGCGTGTCCGCAGTGGGCAAATGGAAGAGGCGACTTTCTCAGACAAGCTAAAGATAGGTCATTTAAAGCCATGATGAATAGGCCAGAAGATGTGGCTAGAATCACACAGTGGATACTAAGCAAAGGACGGATAAAATAGTTTCGACTTACAGGGGAATTCAAGCTAGCAATATCAGATAGAATAAAACAATCTGGAAAGGGAGAGGATGGAATCAATACTGGCTGAACAGTGTACACTGCACTTCCTGAAGGTAAACTAAATAAATTGATAGTAGTATAAACAGACAGGATCAGGAGGTTTTCCCCAAATTGGTTTCCTCCTTTGTAAACAATGAAGATAGTCACCTGCATGGACCCATAGGGTGCCTGATCAGGTTAAATCAAATCGAATACAAAAAAAAGTATTAAGTGTTGGGAGTTAATAGTAGATTTTAAATTTGCTATTTTTAATCGTAATTTACATCTTATCCGTCTACTTTAACTGCCAGCCCAGCCCTTCCAATAATTCACGAGCTGACCACAGCCAATGGTTCCCACATATCCTTTTCCTAAACTTCTACTATTTATGATCATCGCGGCGCTGTAGCACATAACTTTTTCGGAATATTGGACAGGAGGATAGCCCGCTTGCAAAGGCGGCAATAGCGACGGCATTCCCAACCGTTATATCCAAGATTTATTTTTCTACCTGATGATGCACACTTTTTACTCCACAATCCTATCCAATCACTTCAGGTATTCGTGGAACGTAACCCACCCTGTAACAAAGTTTTCCAGCCATGCTTGATTGCAGGCTTCATCGAGGGTCTTATCGTACCCGACCCCACAACCCCGCTTCCACACCCTTAACGCCGTTCCAAGCATTCGACTCCCCTAGGCTCCTCAACCTGCGTATATCACTGATGAATTCTCTGTAAAGCAACGATCGAAATAGCTTATAGTTCACGAAAGGGCTTCCATACGTTCGACAATCTCCAGAACGCGACTCTTACGACTACTCGCTTTGGAGCCGGAAGATACGGGACTACGGTCTCGGCCTATCCGTGTTGGTTTATCTTCGTCTCTTGCAATCGAGAGGTCTCCATCCTCATAGTCTTCTATAAGAGGCTGGTAAACGGTGACGAAAGGGCGACTGTAGCCGCCAACCTTTTCCTTGCCCTTGTTTTTGCTGACAACGCCCTCCTCTCGGTAGTCCTTTGGCGGTTCGACCACTAATGATTCCTCATTAAAAGGCTCTTCCTCGATTGTCAAATTCTGAACGCTGTGCCTTCGTTCGCTCAGACTTGTGGTGGTATCCCATTTTGAGTCGTCATCGTCTTCCTTGCTACTCCCCTGCTCATCCTGATTGACTATACGTAGCTTTTCCTTCGGTACACTAAACATAACCTTGACAAGCCGCTTCTCAGCTGAACTCTGATCATCGCCGTCATCATCGTCCTCATTTCCGTCCTGGTGTAAGAGATTAGAAGTAATTTCGTTAGATATATAGGAGCGGCCAGAAGCCGCCGCCGGCATGTCGGGATGATAGTCGTCGCCATCTCCGCGACCCTGCTTTCGTCGCCACAATGTTCCACTAGAACTGGCGGGCCGATGGGAATCCCTACCAGGAATAGATTCAGGAAGCGGTGGTGTAGAGTAGTTCTCAGTGCCTTGGAGCCTAGGATCACTCCCATTTGGGTTGAACAAGTCGTGGTCAGGTGCTGCGACAAAAACTTTCCTCAGACTGCCTAGCCAACCGGTATTTCGCTTCCCCAGCCCATTAGCCTTCAGCTTGGAGGGGCTACCGGATGAAAGATACTGGTCTTCAGTGGTGTCTAAGCTTCCAATCATAGGTCTTTCAGATGGGAGAGGAAGTAAGTGCTCATCTTCGTTAGTAGGAGGTAACACCGATGTTTGCGCTGATCGGAAGCTCTTTCCAGAACGACTACTGTGTGAGCTTCCAGGAGCGACTCTAAGTGCGGGCGGTAGGGGTGATAACGAACGATTCAAGGTGGGGGGTGATAGGGTGATGCCGCTACCAAGTTTAGTGAGGGAGTGATTGTGGCTCGTCCCAAAAGGGTTTGTTACTGTCGCGCCAAAACTTCGAACAGAATTTTCACGAGAATGTTGTGAATTTATGCTACCCGATACGACATTGGATTGCGCGAGGCTTTTCTCTGTCTGTTCGCTTAGATTACTTATTGATCTTCCATCCTCTTCGCCAGCAACTGAGTCGGGACTGTTTGCCGTTACAACAGTCGCCTGTCGCGTGGGAGATACCTGGCCTATAGAGGAATGCGATCTTGTTTGAGAGCTCATTATTACATCAGCTGCGGCCCACTCAGAAACCCAATCCTGAATTTCTTGTTCCCGAGCCGCGGTGTCAGAGTCCGGAGTTTGAACACTGCGCGTCATACTCTGCCGACTGTTAGAGACCCGTTGGTTTAGAGGGTCTTTGAAAGGATCTGAGTGGCGTTTAGTATTTTGTTGGTCTCGAGACGTGAAGGGCTGTCCCGCGACGAGCCCTAAGTCTCCCGCGTTTTCGTCTTCTTCATCGTTTTCATCGGCCTCATATATTGGATGTATAGCACCGGCAGTTCCATGCCCAATTCCCAGATTTCCTACTTCGTGATTGGCAGGTTGGTAACTTCCACGCAGCCTTGAGTATGAGGGGATGGGCGTGATTTGCTTGGAAGGCGGTGGAAGGATATACGGTGAATCTTCATTTCCATGTACTCCTGGATTAAAATGCTCGTATCGTGTGCGATTAGAATCGGAGTGATTTTCGTCAAACTCATCCTCTGCATCTCGATTTGAACTTCTGTGTGACCAGGGGAAAACATCACTAGATGATCGCATCTCTTGATCGGGACCCCTGTGTGAACTGGAGGCTATTGCACTGAGATCTCTTATGTTGCCGTCTCTCGAGTCTTTGTGCTTCTGATGCCGTTTATATCCCACACACAGTAAGACCGACGCAGCTACTGCCGCGAGGCTCAAGCCCACAGCGATCCTTACGCCCAAAGATGAGGGCGAGCTTTGGTGGAATTCTTCCTTCGGTAGGTATTCAGGATTACTGTAGTTAGTAGACCAAGTTTGACTTGTGGCATTAAAAAACATTGCTTTAATCCCTGATTCCTCGTCTCTTTTTACAGGACCGACGTCGTAGCCTCCAAGTATCATCATCACATTTCCAGGTAGCATTGTTGCTCCATGGCCGTAAATTCCACCACCTGAAGGCTGGTCAGCCGGAACTGACCACTCCCAGTGACCCGATCCCCCGTAGCCGGTGCCTAAATGCAATATGGCGAGTTGTGGTTCCGCAGCTTGGCTGACATCCCCTACCCACCCTCCATATATGATTACTTTGGTTCCGTCTTCAGTTAGCACAGCAGAGTGGCCTGATCGACTATCGATAGTGTTTGTGCTACCATCGACGGCAATTTCGGAACTGGGCTGTGCTGTCGATGGCATTTCAACTTTAACGAAATTCCATGCTTCCTCAGGCAAACTCCAAATGGCTACCTGGCTCATACTTATAAATGCCGTGGGTGTATGACCTCCAATTACCATAAAATTTTTCTGCTGGATTCGAACATTAGAATTATTTGAAAATGTTGGAGTTAAACCGGTCAAAGAGAAGCCAGCTTCTGCGACTGGAGAGCTTCGGCCAGAGGTGACTTCGAGGGTATAGTTCATGTCGGATTGAGGTGATAAGCGCAGCATACTATTTGAGTATCGAGCTGATGTTTGCCAGTTTGTAGTAGTGCTACCAGATTTAGGGCACATTCCACCAAACAAATAAAAATTGGTCTCTGATGAATTGCTGTCGACTAAGGGGGAGAAAGAAAATGCTTTTGAAAGATAGTAAGCTCCAGGGAGGGAGGCTGACATCATATCGGCTGCTGCATGAGTTGTACTTTGAGTCCATCTCCCGCGATTTTTGGAATCCAAGTTGGGGTTTGTCAAAGTCCACAACGCCGAAGAGTTGGTTGACTGGCAGGATCCCGTATAAACAGTGATATCACCAGTGTCGGAGATGAAAGGTGTAAAGGCAGCATTATTTCCGCTCGTGAATGGAAGGTCGGGGGATGTGACGCTGAAAGTTATATTTGATGCGGATAGTGTTGAAGACAAATCGAGAGTGTCCAATTGATGAGCGCTAGAATCTGCATTGTGCTGGAAAATGTATGCGATATTTTTATTTATCGGATCGTGAAGAATAGATGTCGGATTATATGGCAGGCTTTGAGAAGCGACTATGGTAATTATTCCCGTAGCCCATACGATACAGTATCTTATAGAGCTCATTGTAAATGATGCGACGATCATGGGAGTAGAATTGTGGAGGTAGGAGCTTCTTGGGTGCGCACCATCGTCGACCAACCTTGACCGAATGAGAGTTGGGGAGAAGAATGCCGTAAATGATTCAAAATCAATGAGCGCGTCAAGCAATTAATTTGCACGCTTTAAGCTTCGAACTGCTTGATGGGAGGGGGAGCGTATTGGGACGGGATCGTACATGGTCGGTGACTCGATGCTGTAGAAATAAGAATTCCATCTATAATTCCGGTAGCTACCCCCGCGTCAGTAGCCAATCAGATATGCAATTCCCTTCGTCTCCAAGGTCTGGGGTGCATCATTTGTTGACACGACCAAGCGCATTGTTGCTATGACAACCCAAATCCATGGGGCATATATCCATGGGAACTTGCCGAAATGCCCTGACATCGCAACTGATGCACCGGCGAGATTCGGTCATCAATCGACGAGCAAGAAATTCACTTGTCTATGTAAGGGCATCATCTAATTTGATTCTCTCTTGCACTGGATGAGAGGCATACGGAAACCCGCGATCTGGACATCAATAGAGGTATCGATCGAGGAGGAAAGATTTATGCATAGCAGAAAACAACCATCAGATCGGGCTTAGCTTCTCTACCAACGGGAGAAGTCTAAGGGTTGGGGGGAATTGATGGACAGAGGGCAGGCCAGACCAGGGTAGACCAGGGGGAAAGGAAGAAAAGCCGGATTCCTAGCCAGGCCGAGCTATTTCTCTGGATATTTTATCCCAAATTTAACTGCCGCAGGGAGTCGGAAGAAGAGCTTGATTGCTTGACTTGTTAGTTTTGTATTTATTAAATCGCTTCTCCGGCTTGTATACGCTCCCAGTCTTTGTACCGACGACGGCTACGTTACCTGGGCGTGTCCTGGAAATATGAGACCATGCTTATTTTTAACTTGGACCCATTCATTCGACAGAAAGTTGAAATGACTTGTTATTATTGAGGTTCATGAAGGGATCGGACAGATTAGAGTCGGAAAAATATCGTCAAGTGTATTCGGCCATTTGTTTGAGGTAAAAAGTAGAGACCATTCACTGGCGCGTAAGGAATCCCACAAATGGAAACACAGTGTATCAGCCTAATCGCATGAAAACCATGGGCAAGAGCAGCCTAAGGCATGAGGAATAACAACTGAGCTAAGGTGCAGTGGTGGGCAAGGGTCAAGCGAGATGTAGGCTGGAGGAGTCATGCCTGCACTTCCAATGTTTCACGCCCAGCTACGCGCATTGTCAAAGAGTTACTTACCATCCCTGTCCTCTGCGTCATTGCCAGTGCATCCCGGTCTCTTAGCGCAAGGCGTGAAGAATCATATCAAACACCAAGTGTTTGTACAAATCCCAAGTCAACGTCTACAAACATATACTTTTAAACGCGAAGTAATCCAAAATCGACTTGTGGGCTGTAGGCCATTTATCTCACCACGCATCTAATGCGTAATGTAGGCCAAAGCTGGTTGATAATAAGAGAATCAATGAGGTAACCAGAGTCTTGAACACGAGACTAGTCCTCTCAGCCTTATGTAACCTGGTCCTAATGATACCAAAATAAATCTTCTACAGACGCATCGAAGCAATTTCACAATGCAGCAAGTATCTACAAATAGGAAGCTTGACCTAGTTCTTGGAAGGTCGTCTAGATCAGGATTTGAATAGTCTCATGCAACCATTCGAACTAGCCCCCAACGAAAATTGTAGAGCTTAAGGGTATCTAGAAGCTTGGATTAGCCGATATCATTCTACTGAAAATAGCTCAGATAGAGCTATGTATTACTGAACACAAGAATCACGAGGCGATGAAAGATGTTTGGCAATTTCATATTTTCCCTGCACAATAGCAGGTTCAATCCTTAACGCAGAGCCTATATCTGACCTTGTCGGGGATCTAATTTGGGCTTCGTTGCAACGGCCGATGTCAACTTAATATCCATATGTCTATCTACTATCATGCGCACATGGCTATATTCGTTTTCTAAATAGCAACTAATTTCGTGGCCACAAAGCAAGGTTGGGAGTTTAAATGAGCATCGATAGACTTGCGGCCGAGGATCTCAAATAGCTATGATTGTAGAGCTCATGCAACGGGCAATGTGCGTTGTGATGAATGTTTTGGAAATAATAGAGGTATCTGTAGCCAAATGCTTTCTTCTTTCATCTCGAAACCGTCTTCCTATCGCACAGCAACTTGAAAGGCGCAGAGTTTCCTGTACCGCTATTGTTTTACGGGAAGCTAGAGCAAATGACCAACGATGCATCTGTGAGATGAGAATGCGGGAAGCTGCAGGTAAATCTGGCACAATCTCCCCCCCTGACTCCTAGGCTTATTGCAGCCAGTATCCAATCGGCGCCCACAGTAAAATCTTGTGGTGGGTAGCGATAGCTGAAGATCGGGTTGGGGGGGGGGGGGTATTTTTTTGCATCAGGTTTTAATTGCGTATGCAGCTATCTAGCTTTGACACAATATCAAAGAAAAGTATAGAATAGTTGATTCAACGTAAAGGAAGAGCACTCATGCCTCAGATTTCACTTGCAAGTACCACTGCGAAGTTGTGGCGGCTTTTTCTTCACCTCAAGGCAGCCCTCATCCGTGAATACCCACCCAGGGGAACGTCTCAAAAACCCTGAGTTGTCCAGACATGCCTCCATCATCTTTCAACTTTTCTCCGCGCGAAATATGGTCTGAGGCGCGTCTCCCTCCAAAGTGGAGTAGGTGCCCAGGCTACTCAAACTATACCAGAGAACACCACCAGGAGGCGGACCACAACACCTTTGTGAAGGTCGGTTGTGAACGTGTTCAGGGAATGGCTGACGCTACAACCTTACAACATGTGTCCACAAGCATTTCATCGTCACATTGCTCTTTGTATTTAATCGACTTGAGGCGCATCGTCACTGCCACTAGTGCGCCATTCATAGTACAAAACATAGCGCCTCCTGAATTGAAAGTTTTCAGTCTAACTTACTCTGCAATTTCTAACCTCACCCAAGGTACAGAAAATGGAATAAGATTCTGGAAGGCAATGGGCTAGCGCTACGTTAGGAATCATTAATCGTTCACAATTATAAATAGTAGCTTTCCATCTCTAAAGGAAAAGGCGGAGGCATGAGAGTACTAAACTTACCACTTTAAATTCATACCTCAGGTCCAATATGCTGACAGTAAGTAGTTATACGATCAGTCTGAGCCTTCCTGACGATGTCAACTTGTTCGCGCTAGGTAGTCTAGAATGTAAGTAGTACAACCAAACTAAACCAATCAGCTCTTACTTGCAAGCGCGATGTCGCATACTGTTCGTGCCAAGGATGAGAAGTAGATTTGTGAATGCATCATGCTCCTCTGTTACTGCTTTATTCTATGATTTACTAGGCTTAATGGTAGATCACACCAGGTAGCGTATGTTTTCAGACATGCAACTATTCAGGGCTAATCTGTCCCAGGGTATAATTCAATGAAGAAATGGGCTTCGCCAGGGATTAAAATTTGACCTCAACCCCTTGTTGCAGATCTAAGTGATTGCCACGATGCTCAAGGTGCCCTGTCGATTAGCCCTGCATATGCGTTGATCCAACGGAACAGTTAATAGATTAAGGCAAATCTAGATATAAGCTTGAGAAGGGATATCTAAGAAAAATGTATATTTGGAAGTCAATTTACCCATGGCGCACCTTGCAACCCAACGACCCAGAATAAATTTCCGTATAATTTATCTCGGTAGTATGGAAATTCTCTACTGTCGCTATTACGCCGCAACTCCAGAGACGACATATAAATACTGTGGTAGCCATATATGTCGTAAGCCATAACAAGCGATGCGAGCCATGAGGGTCGTAAATTAGCCTACCGCTTCATTCCTTAGTCTGGCTCAGGGTATGATTTGCGGACCGACTTTCATTTAAGCTGTAGCACGGCTCCCTTAAACTACGCCGGAAAATAATCGACCGCTAACGTCTTCGAGATCGTTTGGATGAAATGCCTTATATTGAATCTAGTGGTACTCTCGCACAATGCTTCTAGTGCTGTAGTTTTGATATGTAGGGCTGCCTAGTGACGAGAAGATTGGCATGAAAGTCCTATCCTGTTCAGCTCCAACGAATTATTTGACCCTGCGATCAATCCGGCATACACAAAAAATGTCGTCAAGCGGCTTGACAATCAAATATACAGAAAAAGTTGCTACCAATAAAACTCCTGCAATTTAGTTGCTCGATTACAAATATGGATCTATGTATCGGTTCCAGTCGATTAAGCCTCTTTTTCACCCGCTGTGGTGTGAATTCAGATGGCTCAGTGGTGCTGAGGACTTACAAAAGCCCCAGATTAAAAAGAACCTAGATAATCAAACCTCGCGCGATCGTCCCTTCATGAGTTCGAGAGTGCTGGATTTCTCCATGGAATTCTTCACGTTGAACTTGCCTAACAAATATTCAGTTATATTTTTATTGCGTTTGATGATCGACTTTTGCGACTACTAAATGAATTAAGGGAATATCGTCTAAATAAATTTCCGTAGTGCCATCAACGGACCACCATCGCTCACCCTGGAGCCCGCAGAGCTAGGCTTGAGAGCAAAACTAACCTAGAGTGTTTCTACTGTACTCGACGCTACGTTACTCAACAGGTCCCAAGAAGGTACGAAGAAGTTAGGCTATTCGACTTAACAAAACATACCCCTTTCAAGGCTTTTCTGGTATCTAAATACGACCTCCTACTTTTCTTAGGGCACGAATAACGGAAGGGGTCCAAAGGAGACTAGGAAGGAAGAGTGTGATTCCATAAGTTTCATATAATTCTCCGGCGTCTAGCTGGGCAGTCTCTCCAAACGCTTCCAGAGGGAGGTTTTACCTCCAGACCCAGTGCTGATGTCGGTAATATGAGAGATTTGCGGCCTGTAGATTTATTAATTATTCTCGCTGATATGCATTTACAAATAGCCATCCTTCCGTTGGTATGGAAAGGGAGAAACTAAAGTTAAAAAGTCACTTCCATGTT